CATATGGAAAATTGATGAAAACAAAACTGAAGGATAGGATGTATTAAAAAACACAATTTATTGGAAAAGCTCCAATTATACAGTTTATATAATATAAAATTATATACATTGTATACAGTCTCTCTCTCTCTTTTTTTTGGGAGGGGGGGTTTCAAGACAGGGTCTCTCTGTATAGTATTGGTCCCTGGATCTCGCTCTGTAGACCAGGCTGGCCTCGAATTCACAGAGATCTGCCTGGCTCTGCCTCCCGAGTGCTGGGACTAAAGGCTTGTGCCACCACTACCTGGCCATATACAGTCTCTTTTAAACAATGTATTAGTTACTTTTCCAGTTGCTGTAAAAAATATACTTGAAAAAGCAACTTAAAGAAAGAAGGGGTTACCAGGCGGTGGTGGTGGCGGCGGCGGTGGCGCACGCCTCTAATCCCAGCACTCGGGAGTCAGAGCCACGTGGATCTCTGTGAGTTCGAGGCCAGCCTGGTCTACAGATCAAGATCCAGGACAGGCACCAAAACTACATAGAGAAACCCTGTTTTTAAAAAAGAAAAGGAAGGAGTTTATTTTGGCTTGAAGTTTTGAAGTTCATAATGGTGAGGAAGCATAGGGGCCCGGATGTGAGGTGACCGGTCACAGCGCATCAGCAGTCAGGAAGCAAGCAGAGAGATGAATGCTGGTGATCCTTTACATTGAGATTCTTACTGAGTCAGAGATGCAGGCCCATGGTACCGTGCTGTCTACATCTAGAGTGGGTCTTCTCTCTTCAATGAAAGAATCTAGAAACCCCTTCGAGACAATCCCAAAGACTTGTCACCCAAATGATTCTACACCTGTCAAGTTGACCATCAAGGTTAGCCATCATGGGCTGGAGAAATGTCTCAGCAGTTAAGAGCGCGCTGGCTGCTCCTGCAGATGGACCTGGCTTAGGTTCCCGGCACCTACATGACAGCTCACAAGTGTATGTAATTCCAGTTCCAGGGATCCGATTACATCTTCTAACCTCTACCAGCACAGTGTGCATGTAGTACAAATATATATGTGCAGGCAAAACATTCATGCACATAAAATTAAGAACTTGATAATAATAAAAAGATGAGCCCTTACAACTAAGTATGAACTGATCTCCTGTGCACTGCCAGGCTGCTAGCAGACCCATTTCATGCTTCAAACCTCAGTTTAAACAGCATCCCCTCAGAGGTTCAAACTTCCAACAGCAGGGTGTGGGGGCGCACCACCACAATGCCAGTGCTCAGAAGGTGGTGAGTTCCAAGCCAGCCAGGGCTTCCTAATGAGACGTATTTTAAAAAGGGAAGAAAGAGGGCCCCTGGTGGAGCGCTGGGAGTCTAATTAGTGAGAAAGAGGAGGGTTTATATGAGTGAGAATTGTTGAAACCAAGGTTGGATAAAGCACAGGGACAAATAACCAAATGAATGGAAGCACATGAACTATGAACCAAAGGCTGAGGGGCCCCCAACTGGGTCAGGCCCTCTGAATGGGTGAGACAGTCATTTGGCTTGATCTGTTTGGGAGGCAGCTGGGCGGTGGTGCCGGGTCCTGGGCTCGTTGCATGAGTTGGCTGCTTGAATCCTGGGACTTATGCAGGGACGCTTGGCTCAGTCTGGGAGGGGGGACTGGACCTGCCTGGACTGAGTCTATCAGGTCGATCCCGGTCCTCCTCGGGGGAGACCTTGATCTGGAGGAGGTGGGAATAGGGGGTGGGCTGGGGGGAGGGGAAGGGGGGGAGAGCATGGGAATCTGTGGCTATTATGTGGAACTGAATGGTGTTGTAAAATAAAAAATAAATAAATAAATTTTTTTTAAAAAGGGAAGAAAGAAAGAAAAAAGAAAAGGAAAGAAAAAAGGGAGGGAGAGGACTGAGGCATAGCCCAGTTGGTAAAATGCTTTTCTAGCACCAACGGAGTCTTGTGTTTGATTCCCAACACCGTATAAAACCAGGGAGGTGGTGAATACCTGTAATCCCACCACTTGAGGGGATCAGGAACACAAGGCCAGCCTCAGCTACTAAGCAAGTTTAAGTCAACCCTGGGCTACAGAGTGAGGCAATCTCAAGAGGAAAAAAATTAAAGGAAAGAGAGAAAATAATACTAATAAATTTTAAAAGAAAACAAAGCATGATGTCTCATTCTAGTCTGAGCCACAGGTGAGATGCTGTCTCCAAAAAATAAAAATAAATAAAATAAATAAAAAATGGCGGTACTCTAGTTACTGCTGGCTCAGTACACTCTGAAGTGTACTCAACCAACTGTTCTTCCACTCTAGTATGAAGGGCGAATTCATTTACTTCGTTCACCACCCAAACCAAACAAGCCAGGCAAGGTGGTGGCACACTCCCATAATCCCCTTCCCCACACGGCTTTTGGAGACCAGCCTGGGCAACTTGAGAAGTTATCCTCTCAAAAATTAAAGATAACATTCTAAAACAAAACAATTAGCAAACAAACAAACAAAAACCAGATCAAGATCTGTTGTAAGGTTTTAGAGTTAGTGAAAAAAGCCTGGGCAGGCAGTTAGGAGCTGGGTCATATTCTTCTCCTAAGGAGGTCACCATGGAGCACACAAAACTATGTCTTAGTTACATTCTCTTTGCTTTATTCACTCATAAAATCAACTCTCATACTCATCTATTTCCTTTTAAGAAGGAAATAATCTTTCAAGAGACACCTAGTCACTTCACTTCCCTTGAATATCCATGTCATACATATTTTACCTCCTCATTCACTTGTTTATCGAAATAGGTCTTGCTGTACAGTCCAGCTAGCCTTGAACTTGTGACCCCCTTGCCTCGGGTTCCTAGTGCTGAGACTACAGGCAGATGTGAGTCACCACAGTTCACTATCAAATACAGTTTTGATTTTGAATGCTACTTAAAAATAATTTTAATGGTTATTTTCACTGGATGGCCTTTATAGTACTGAAACATGGTAGGTTTTGTTTGTTTGGGCACATGTCTCTAACTCCTCATTTAGAAATTGCCCTAGGACTTTTACCAGACAGAAAGGACGGAAGGCCTCGATGTATCTGTAGATAGCTAATTTAAGAAGGATCACTTGATCCTGGAAATTCTGGATTGGCCTAAGCAACATTAGCTTTTTTTTTTTTTTCAAGAATGAAAATTAAGCAATAGCTTTTAAAATAAAACAGAGGAAAAAACATTTTCCAACGAATTTTCGTTACTGAAAAAGCATCTTACAACTGTTTTGTTCTAAAAGAGAGGAAGCGGAAAGATCACTCTCAGATGCATGACATTACAAATGGTGTGACTAATGCGATACCAATGAAGTCAGAGGCTGTCCATGAATATATGTGTGTCCTGATGAGCTTTAACTGTCAACTTGATACAGACTAGAGTCATCTGAGAGGAAAGTCTCCATCGAAGAACTGTCTGCATCAGATTGGCCTGTGGCCATCCGTGTCTGTAGGGGTTGTCTTGATTGTTAATCGATACAGAAGGGCTAGGTAGTACACTTCCTAAACAGGTCGTCCTGAATTGTACGAGAGAGCTTGTGAGTATTGTAGTGGGTAGCCATTCCAGCTTTGGTCTGAAAGTTCAAACCCCCCATTGAGGCTTCGGTAACTGTCACACCTACAAGGCAGGGCCAAGGTCAGGCCCTGAAGACCCGAGATTGGAATCGCTCTCTTCCTGCTGGGACTGGACGCTAGAGGTAGACCGAGGAGAGTTCTCCAGAGGACCCTGCCAGACTGCGCTGCATCTTTCACAGAACCTGTAACCTACCTATCCCTTCATTTGTAAGTTATGCCATTAATAAATCTCCCTTTTAACACATGGAATGGCCTTAATAATTTCACCAATAGAGTATGAGCTAGTATGGGATCCAGCTGGCAAGCAGCGTTCTCCCTGGGTCCTGCTGCACTTCTATAGCTGTGAAGTGAGTTCCTCGGTCAGAGGTAATGCTGTACGAAACAGCTATCAGGCCTACCTTCACATTCTTCCTTTGAGTTCCTGCCTTGACTTCCCTCAGTGATGGATTGTGACCTGGAAGTGTAAGACAAATAAAGCCTTTCCTCCTCTAAGCTGCCCTTGGTCAGGGTGTTTTTATCACAGGAAAAGAAATAAAATGAGAGCACTATGTCATCATATTTTCAAAAGTCTGCTCATCTCCACAATATTATGAGATGATCAGTTATAATTTCTAGAAAATAAGGACATAATATACTTCAATTAGCAATTATTTCTTGACCGTATTATTATATCCCCAGCAATGTGCTCTGCCAACTAAATCTATCTATAAATAGAAGCTCTTACCTATTATCACTTATGCTATAGATTTGCATAAGTATCAAACAGAGAATCATGTGTAAGCACTATATCAAGACAAAATTGGACTCGGGGTATCAATCAATTTTAGAGTGCTTGCCTAGCATGTATAGGCCCTGAGTTTAATCCCAGCACTACAAAAACACAAAGCAAAACACATTTAAGCCTAATATTTGACCTGAGGCTGTAGCGCAGCAATAGAGTGCTTGCCCAGAATATAAAAGGCCTGGGTTGGATCCCTAGCATTACTGGGGTGGGGGAGTCCTAATAAATATGTTAAAACATTGATTTTATCTTAAAAGTAAACCAACAAAGAAGCCAGACGTTGTATCCAAATTGAAAACCAGCTATACCAGCTTCTAGATTTATGGTTGTCAAGCTACCTGGAAGCTGTTCACTTCCTTTGAGATTCTTAGTTGTTATAGAAAGTACTCTCACTCCCACTGGGCATATTAGCAATAGAAATTGAGGCCGAAGGGCTGGAGGGGCACAGACAGAGTTCATATAAAGTGAAGCCCTATAGACTAGGTTGGATTATTGTCCACAATAATTCTCCCAATCCCTCAGCCACATAAATCTAACAGCATACTAGGATGGGTGTGGTATGTTTCCCCCTCCACTGATGTTGACCCACATAACTTGGCTCTGGTCAGGACATTATGACACACAAAGACAGGACTTAAAGGTTCTCTTGTCTTTGGCTCAACCTCTGACATCCTGCAGTCATTTGAAGACAGCACATGCCAACTAGCAGCCATCCCTCTGCCTGGACCCCAGGTGAGATATACACAGACAGCCTTACATCTGACAAACGACTGAAACCCAGCCAAGATGACATGTCACATGATACAGAGCTGACCCAGATGACCACAGAACTGTGTGCAAAAGAATAAGTCACTCATATTGAAAGCTACTCAGTATTTGGGGGAACTGTAATGTGGTGATATATTGTGTACCCTAATAAATTTGCCTGAAGATCAGAGAACAGAACAAGCCACTAGATTAAACATAGAAGCCAGGCAGGGGTGGCACACACCTTTAATCCTAGCACTCAGAAGGCAGAGATCCACCTGGATCTCTGTGAGTTCAAAGCCACCCTGGACTACATGACTCAGTCTAGGAGAGAAACAGAGCCAGGCAGCGGTGGCACACACCTTTAATCCCAATACTTGGGAATCACATGCCTTTAATTCCAGTACTAGAAAAGCTGAGACAGGAAATGATATGGGTGGGCAGAGGAAGGTATATAAAGCATGAGGAGACAGGAACTAAAGTCTTTTGGCTGAGGAAAGCTTTTCAGGCTGAAGAGTCCTAGAGGAAGAGGTGGCTTGTTCCTTTGTCTCTCTGATCTTTCAGCATTCACCCCAATATCAGGCTCTGGGTTTTTTGTTTTTTTGTTTTTAATAGAAATTAAACCACTTAGCAATTAGTGTTACACTGTAAGCATGATTTGAAGAAATTAATAAGTAATTTAAATATCACATTTGTTCACACCAGCAGGTCCAGTTTATGCTATACCAACCAATAAATTACAAAGACTTTGTGTAATTGTACACATAGATTCTAACAAGTTCTGCATTTTAACAGTCATTAATCTATCTATTTACCTACCTACCTACTTATCTATATACCTATCATCCATCTATCTATCTATCTATCTATCTATCTATCTATCTATCTATCTATCCATCTCTATCTACCTACCGCCTACCTCCCTCTAGTGTTGAGGATTGAGCCTAAGACCTGTGTATGCCAAGCAAGTGCTCTTCTCTGAGCTACATCCTCACTCCATCCTTTTTGTCTTTACTTTTGAGACACAGTCTTGGCTAAGGTGCACAGGCTGGCTTTGAATTAGCTCTGTAACCTTGGTTGACCTTTGAGCTTTTTAATCTGCCTCAGTCTCCAGCTTAGTTATGGTTACGGGCCTGTACCACTATGTCCAGTTTAGTTTAAAATTTCGAACAGAAGTCTGGAGGAGGTAGTTGGCAATGCTTTCTCTGCAAGAGTGAGTACCCCAAACCAGGATTAGAACCCCCCAGAAACCACGTGAAAAGCCATGCATGGCTATGCATGCCAGTTACCCCAGCACTGGGAAACAGAGATGGGTGGATCCTGAGAGTTCGCTGGCTGACGGGCCTGGACAAAATGAAGAGCTTCCAGTTGTGTGAGAGGCTGTCTCAAGGCAATAGGCATAGAGTCATAGGGACAGACTCCTGATGACTTGCTCTGGCCTCTGAATGTACAGAGTATAGGCTCATGCACTTGCATGCTCATGGGTATGCAGCACACACACACACACACACACACACACACACACACACACACACACACACACACACGATCTCTAATAGAAGCAATGACCCACACTGTTGCGGAGTGAGGAGATGGAGGTGGGAGTAGCAGGAAGTAGAGAAACAGGCTGTCATTGAGTACACAGTCCAGTATGTCAGAGCCTTGTCTATCACACTGCCAACAGTTGGCATGTCCCAACAGCAAATGGGCAGTCATCCCTCTAGAATTCTTTGCCTCTTACAAACACAAAGCTTCTTCTTCTATTCACAGTTGAACACAGTCTCATGGACCAAAGACTTTGGCTTGAGTCATTTAATATGAGAGTACCTTAATGGGATACCAGCATCATCTGCAGGGCAAGCACAATGATCCTCGCCTTTGTTTTAGCTCCTGAGAAAGGTCCAGAAGAATGCGCATGCCAAGCACACATCAGGAGCTGACTAAATGTTGTCACCAGGAACACTGTGAGTAGAGGTTTTGTAACAGCTCCAGAGATTCCAGAGATGAGGAAATAATTCATTAATCACCTCACACGTAGGACACAAAAGCAGAAAGAACGCTAAAGGACCTGCAACAGATTAGCTGTGTTCATGCTGGGAGAAGAATTTGGCTTCAGAAAGTAAAATATCACCTGCTGTGTTATTGATTTGAACTTGTCTGATTCTATAGTTACGTTAAAAATCTAAGTTTTTTTTTTTTTTAATTGGGAGGTTCTCATGCAACCCAGGCCAGCCTCAAACTGTCTATATAGAGTTGAGGGTGACCTTGAAATTCTAATCCTACTCCCATTTCAAAAGCGATGGTATTATAGGCTTGAACCTGGTGTATGCAATACTGGGGATCGAATGCAAACTTGGAGCTTTCATGCATGCCAGGCAAATGCTTAACCAAACGAGCTATATTCCTAGCCCTAAAGTTGGTTAGGTTTTTTTTTTTTTTTTTTTTTTTTTTTTTTTTTTTTTTTTTTAAGAATTTCTCCATGGTAATCTAAATTTACCAAACTACAGATGCTAAGTTATTCAGCATTGCGCACCATTTTAATTAAGGCTTTTAGTTTACATTTGGCTACCTCAAAGTAGTTGTAATATTTGGTTGGTCAATTTAAATACTGTGGCTCTCTGTTGGATGGACACACAATCTTTACTTCAAGATGTTAAAGCATACAAAGAAACAAGACATTGTCAAATAAAGCAGCTGCGGTTACTGCAGTCAGGGCCTTGTGACCAAGACCACAAGATCAAAATGAACTCCCACATGCACATCCACAGTTCTTGTCCACCATGTGCCATCTCAACCAAAACATCACATGTGTGAAATTACCATAAATGGCAAAAATCTTAAAGAAGCTACATTTTTGGTATTGTAAGCACTGTGTGCCACATAAACAAGAAGCCTGGATATTTCCTTCCCAACAGACTTTAAAGGAAACAGCTTTAATAAAAATATATTGAAAGGACTGTATGTTTTCATTTTTTTTAACTAGCTTTTTTTAGGTTAATGTATAAAGTATTGAGTTTCGTAGCGGCTTCCTCGTACATATATGTCATTATGCTTTGCTTGCCACCACTCACTTGCCACACTACCCTTTCCTACCTACCCTAAGATGGCTCCATTTCTTCCTCCAGCAAGACCTCCACTACTGCAGTCTGTCTTCATAGGCTTTTGAAAAATTAAAACAAATCAGAGAGCTGTGTTAATCAGAGTGTTTATTTTTTGTACATTGCAACAATAATGACCTGTATTTTTGTAATTATTTTTCAAATCCTGTATTTCTTCTTTGACAACTTCACACATAGACACAATGTAAGTTGAGCAAATTCCACCCCTTCCCCTCCCCTCTCACTCCTTCCTGACGCCCCCAACCTCACCCTCCTGTCTTCTTCCTCTTCTTTCTCCTCCTCATCCTCTTCTTCTTCCTTCCTCCTCCTCCTCCTATTCCTCCTCCTCATCTTTTTCTGCTTCTGTTTCTTCTTCTTCTTCTTCTTCTTCTTCTTCTTCTTCTTCTTCTTCTTCTTCTTCTTCTTCTTCTTCTTCTTCTTCTTCTTTTTCTTCTTCTTCTTCTCCTCCTCCTCCTCCCCCTCCTCTTCCTTCTCCTTCTTCTTTTTTTGTAACCTGCTGGGTCCAATTAGTGTTGCCTGCTGGAATGGTGACTGATCTTGTTGGCCTGATCTTGTGAAGGTCACGTTAACTACCATGAACTCATGAGTTCAACAGCCATTGTCACTTCCAGAAGATGGCATTCACAGAACTTCCCATCCTTGGGGTCTCACACTCATTCTCATCTTCCATGATACCCCCGAGCCTTGGATGGATTAATAATAATGTCCTGTTTAGGGCTGAGCACCCAAATGCTGCTTACTCTCCGCACTAGGGAAGAGTTTCTGCATGAATTGCTGCCCAGGGCAGAAGCTCCCCTGGCCAAGGTTGAGAGGCAGCACTAACTTATGAATTGCTGGCACTGCTGTACTGAGTTGAAAGGTAAAGTTCTCAGATCTCTCTGGCTCAAGCGGGGTTCCACATGGTGCTGGGCACAGGTGGGTCAAGTAGGTGATGTCGGTATCTGTAGCCTCAATGTTCTTGGGTTCTGGCAGATTGAGGAGGGGCAGATGTTATTAAGTCTTTTTCTGGTAGTTTCCTTGGAATCCTAAACTCTACTGTGGCCTCTTGGTCCTGCAGATTGGGCCTATGTGGGGAGTGCCTCCTTTGCTGTATTTTTTTTTTAATTATCAAAGAAGTGAAGTCATCTGGAGTAGTCTGTGTAGAAGCTCTTTGGGTTTTCTTTTATTATGCTAAATAATGGTCCTTTTAGAGTCTCCTATTGTACTTCCCAATGCAAAGTCAGGGATATATCAGCATACAGTACACCATTTTCATCCATGTATGCTAGTGAATGGAGAACGTCTCTCAGCAGTATTATTGAGACGCAGCCTCTGTTTTTACTGGCTGCAAACTCTAGGGCTATCCCATAAGTAAAAATCTCTCTTGAGACGTTAGAAAGTGATTAGAATGTATAAGCTAATCTAACGGCGTTCATCTGCCTCTCAAAGATGCCACCACCGGAAGGGCACCTGACGGCTCAGCAGGTAAAGGGGCTTTAACCGCCAAGTTTGATGACCCGAGTTCAAGCTCAAGGATGCACGTGGTGGAACCAACTCCGGTAGTAGACCTCTAACCTCTACATGCCCGCCATAGAACACATACACCGCCCCGCCCCGCCCCCTCTCCAGACAATGAATGTTTTAAGTTGGAAGGGTAGCATCACGTGAGAGATTATTTACGATCTTGGTTTGGCCAAACAGAGTTGGAATGCTGGCAAAAGCTCTTCTGCTCTGGCTCAAAGCTACAGTGCATTTATTATGTTAAGCAGCTGACATGATGAGGGTCTGAAGTTTTTCTCATTTGCAGTGTTGGGTGGGGGGCCCTAAAAGGTTTTATTAATGGTTTGAGTTTTATTTCATTATTTTCAGAAGACTCTAAGAGCGTACAATTGCTCCATTGTCTTGCTAGACTTGGGCTTTGCTCCTTCCTTACAAAGCTTCCAGGTCAGGCTGACTCCCAACTGGAACCATAGGCACATCATCAGCATCTCCAGCTGAAGACTCCGACTTCCTGTCTATCACTAAATGTGGACTGGGCTGGGATGAAATAAGATAAAGGAAAGCCTCGTCTATTTTCATACAAATCCCTTGCAGCTGTAAACTGTCTCCTTCTACAGTACCCAAGATCTCAAGCACACACCACTGTGCATCTATTGCAACCCATTCTCTATAAGAATCTTCCTACGGGACTGGAGAGATGGCTCAGAGGTTAAGAGGACAGTCTGCTCTTACAAAGGACCCAGGTTCAATTCCCAGCACTCACATGGCAGCTCACAACTGTCTGTAACTCCAGTTCCAGGGGGTCCAACACCCTCACACAGCTATACCTGCAGGCAAAACACCAATGCACATAAAAATAAATAAATAATAAAAGAATCTTCTGTGATAGGATTGTTTTTCAGCATAAATTCCTTGAAGAAACTGAACTGCCGGAGACATCTTTCCAAAGTCTACTGTGCCAAGAACAACGAATGTACAAGTTAGAATTCCTAGCCCCTCCCCCACCTGCATGCCCGCACATGCGCTGTCCAGCAGCCAAGCAAGATGCTTCGTCATCCCAGGGCCTTAAGTCTTATGTAATCCATGCATTTCGTGATCACGTAATTTGCACACAGTGTGACCACACTATCTATGCACGTGTGTGGTGTAGCTATGCGCATGTGCGGGGAGTGGGTGGTGGGGTAGGGTGGTGGGCGGTGGGTGAGAGGGGAGCAGGGAGGGGGAACCTATAAAAAAACAGGTTCCATCTATCCCTCCCCTCTCTTCCTGCACAATCATTCCTATAGGCCTAAGCACATCCCTTCTGTTCCCCTTCCCTTAATAAACTCTTATAGTGGGTTTTGTTGTACCTCGTGGCTTTTCTTGCATGGTAAACAGTGCCGCTTAATAAATAACAGTACACTCACACAGGAAGTGAACTTTGAAACCGAGTATTCTTACACTGTGTCCTTGCTGCCAGCATTGTCCTGCTGTCCCTCTAGGTAAGTGCTTCTGGTGCCATGGCCGGCCACTCTGGCTTCTACATGTATCGAGAAGGCCAGGCAAATACCATGACAGGCTCCTAATAACTCAGTTAACAACTAGGCCTCAGTTCCTGCCTCTTGACACTGAACAGACAGTTTCTGAAGAAGCCAGGAACAAGGGACAATCAATCACCAATGCCCCCCCAATAGCAAGGACATATGGAACTGCACACACCAGGCTGAGCCAGCCCCCATAGTATCTCAAGGCAAAAACCAAGTAAGGACAGAGCCTGGTGCTTGTCTGGACTTGCCCCTAAATGGAAAAACTATAGCCTTAGCCAATGCCTGCTAGCCCTAACCAATCAGGAATGTACTAATATGATTGCCACTCACATAAGCCAATCATTGATAGGATGAGCTAACTGCTTCTAGAATTCCTTTGGCTGTGTATAGAAGGAGTCTGCAAGCTTCTCTCAGGGTAGACATTTGTGTTGGATGTGTGGCTCCAGCATGATGGTACTTTTATTTTCTAGATAATTAATGCTCTTGCCGATTGCATATGTAAATGGTGGTCTTTTGTGGGACTTCTCTAGGACTCTGACAGCATGGCTCTTGATGTTCCAGAACCTAACCTTAATTTTTTTTTAACTAATTTTATTTTTATATGTGTGTATGTGTATCTGTATGTGTGTGTGCAGGCTAGTATACTCAAGTATCCTTCCTCAGGTGCCATCTACTTTGTTTACAGGGTCTTTCAATTGCCTGGAGCTCACTGGCTAGTCTGGTGTCTCCACCCTCAATGCTGTTTTTTTCCGTTAGTGAATATTAATCAATGTATGATGTAGGAGGTTTTGCTTCAGTTTTATGTGACATAGAACCCAATTTAAACACTCCTTAATAGAAAAGAAAACATTTTATTTGAATTTTTATCTATATGTATGTTTAGCAGCACATATACACCACAAATAATAAAATAAATATTTTTTCAAGCCTTGGAGGGGGCGGGTGTTTAAACACAGGTGACCCACCAGGATGTAATAAAACTTCAGTTTCCCTTAGTGTCTTGGTTCCACTTTCTACTGAGT